TCGACGAAAGAGGGGGAGGCCTTCAATGAGATGGACTGATACAGTGGCTGCTGTGATGGGCTCAGGTATAGCAGGGATCGTGGAGCTGGCAAGAGACCAAGCGTTGTTTCATTGTGCTGTGCATCGGGTCGCTATGAGTCAAAGACAACTCCACTGCACCTGACAACAACAACAACAACAAAGAAAATAATGTCTCTTTTGTAGAAGAGCACATTAGCTACTGTGTCTGTCAAAAATCATTTAAAATTTTTCACGTAGGTCATCATGGACTACTCAGCAAAACTGATGTCCACATATAGTGAGACCTTATTTGAACTTATTTGAACTGCCTCAGGTATACACACTCTGTTTTCAAAGACCCAGGAGAATCATCAATCCCCAAAAAAGAAAATAGGGTCTCTAATACCCAAAGAAATGGCAATGATATGAAAGGGAAGAACCTAATGACTTCATTTGAGAGGGATTAGACCAGAGTGAAATGCAATAACATTACACCTCTGACTTTACACTTCCAAACACATTCTAACCAAAGGTCCAAACTTCATACAAAATAATGTATTGCTTTCATTTGATAACTGCTAATGTCTATGATGGGAGCTCTGGTAGCATAGTGGCTAAGGCACTTGACTGCTAACCAGAAGGCTGGCGGTTCAAACCCACCAGCCACTCCTCGGAAGGAAGGTTGGGCAATCCTACTTCCGTAGTGATACTGCCTCGGAAACCCAAGGAGGGGTCGCTATGAGTCAGGGCTGACTCGACGGCACATAACAACAACAACAACAATGTCTATGATGACAAATATTTGGTACATCACCATCATGTCTAAACCATACACATTGGAATGAAAGAAATTCAGAAGCATGGTTTAGTTTAATGACTAATTATTTCAGAGCCACTTATACAACTATTATAATTAACAGTAACTTACTGAATGCATTTGAGTTGAGCTGAAGAATTTTATAAGTTCTACACCTAGGATTGGCAATAAATGGAAAATGTCAGCTTTTTCCTTTGCTGAAATGTGTTGAGGGACTCATGAACAATTGAAAGTACTTCTGCTCTCTGTCAAGTGAAAGGGCAGGTATAAACCACTTCCTGTAGGACAATTTCTTAAATGACAATGTGAGTGAAATCCTTTTCTTTTAAAATTTCATGTGAGATTAGTTAATAACAAGTCTCTGGTCAAAGCCCATCAGAGCAATAGACTGTGACTGTGGCCTTTGTCACAGCATTGAGAATGTGCCCAATATGGAAAGTTCTTCTCTGAGTCTAAACGCTCCCTGGGCATGTTGTTATTACTAAGCCAAACCAGCACATTACCAAATGGAAAGCACGATCACGGTCTCCTATTTCCAGGACAAATCCAAAATAATATGGGCTTTTGAGTTCCTTAACCAAACTCTAGAGAAATACAGAAGAAGGAAGTATTAATTACAGTATCTAACACAAACAAGGCACACTCATGAAAATAAGGGACCAGTGATAGGTGTGGGGTATCTAACATGGGTATTTTAACTGGTATATATGAAAGAGGTGGATGACTAACTTCAAGCCTGGGGCTATGTAAATTCAGAAGCAGTAGTAAGAGGATAAGAAAACCTTGTAGCTTACTTTTCATCTCTCTCCCACTTTAGTCTGGGATAATCATAGTCTGGCTTTCACTGTAAAAACCAGCAAAATAAGTTCAAGCTGCCCTGAATGTAGGCATCACAAAAGCTTTGCTAAGGTGAAGAATATATGAAAATACATGAACTTCTTAGCCAAACTGGTAGCCTATAACCTAAGGATATGGATGGCTTTCTTCCAATACTGCTTTCTTTTCTTAATTTAAAAGTGAAATTCCGAATTGCTTGGTGGAGTGATAGAAAAAGGGAGGATATTTTTGGTAGTTTTTTGGTGCCTGGAGATCATATCTTCCCCCTTTCCTTAAAGAAGACCACAGAAAAAAATAATGTATTTGAATTATGGTGTTGACAAAGAGTATTGAATATGCCATGGACTGCTAGAAGAGGGTACAAATGTGTCTTGGAGGAAGTACAGCCAAAATGCTCCTTAAAAATGAGAATGACCACTTTGTCTCTCATACTTTGGTCATGTTGCCAGAAAGGACCAATCCCTGGAGAAGGATATCATGCTTGGTAGAGTAGAGAGTCAGCAAAACAGGGGAAGACCTTCAACAAAACAGATTGACACAATGGCTGCAACAATGGGCTCACACATAGCAAGGATTATGAGGATGGTACAGCACCAGGTAGTGGTTTGTTCTGTCCTATATAAGGTCACTATGAGTTGGAACCAACTGAACAGCACCTAACAACAACATAGTTGTGTCCTCAAAGATAAAATAAGCCATGACAAAACAGAAAACATAGAAACAGAAAAAAAAATAGAACAGGGAATCAGTCTTATTTCTTCAGAGTAGCCTTAATGTTTCACAAGTCATGAATTAATGATTCCAAGTCTCATAACAAAGACCTGTGAGCACCTAAACTGCAACAAAATTGAGCATAATATGTATTTTAGGCCTAATTTGTTCCTAGTTATGTAGACCCAGACATAAGCTAACTGTCAAATTTCTTGGTCCGAGATCTGGTATTAAAATATCCCTTTCCATCATCACTTTGATTGTGTGTCAGATTCTCAAGCTTCAGATGCCCTTGGCAGTTGGTTATTAGTTTAGTAATTATTAATGAAAGAGATAAAATATTCCAGTTTCTTCAAATATAAAATTTTGGCATGAAATCTGACACATTCCAACTTACTGATATGAGCCTGGGGTGTTAAACAAAGTAGAGAGAGAAGTAGGACCAAGATATCCTTGATATGAACAGTAAATTAACCAACAGGACAATTGTTCCTCCTGTGGAAAATTAAGCTTTGACAATAAAACAATATATATTCTGGTCAGTTCACTCCTTTTGTCCCCAAAAGAATCTCTACACCATGAAGATTATTTTTTTCCTCCCCTGAAGTCAAAGTCCTCAAAGCAAGACTAAGTACAAAATTCTGTTCTACTTTTTTATTAGAGAACTTGGTTACTTTTTATTTATTACACTTATTCATGGTTTTATATTAGTAAAAGAAAAATGATATTTAAGAAATTAATTGAGTTCTAAGGGAAAGACAGCTTACATATGATGTTATTGAAAATCTAAGTATAAATAAAAATGTCTGTCAAAGCATGTTATTGAATTTTAATACGTCTATTATTATACACATATTTAATAACCCCATTAGGTAGGATGCTTTAGAAAACACTGAAGACTTAGATTACTATGATTAGCATAATAATTAGGTTGTTCATCAGGAAAGGCTGTGAATAATTCATTCTAATTAAGTAACTGATGAACAGTAAATCAACCATCAGTACTGGAGCCCAGTAAGTTATGGACTATAGTAAATTATTAGTAAAGCTAACTTCTAGGTACAATATAATAAAACAAAATGTTATTAAATACTGTCCCATTGCTAGAAAAATCACCAAAAATTTTTTCTTGGAATTTGCCTTTTGGACAACCAGTAGATTTGCCCCAGGTATATGATTTATTTTGCTGCTGCACTATTTGAAGAATCAAAAAAAAAAAAAAAAGAAATAAAAAGAGTTAGACATTAGAGATACGAGAAGAAAAGATATCTCTCTCCTAGATAATAAATATGGCATATGGCCATTGTATTGCTTTCCTTCTAGCTATGCCAGGTGTGGAAGAAAGATGAGGCAGTCTGTTTCCATAAAGATTTACAGCCTCAGAAAACGTATGGGACAGTTCTACTCT